AAGGGGATTCCCCAAGGATCTAACACATCAATACCTTTTGGAGGCCAAATAGCTCCAATTTCTACGGTAGGCGCCAGACTTGAATGAAAGAAAGCCCAAAAAAAAGCTACAAAAAACATTACTTCTGACACAATGAACAAAATCATACCAATTGCGGTCAGATACATCCAAGTAGGGCCGTAATTACGGTCAGATCCAGTTAAGGTTGTGCTAGTGTGAGTATGCTCTCAAACTAAGAATAGATGGCAAGAGCCACAGATATAAATATAGGACATGAACATCGGCAATAGGATTATGACATTACAAGTTTACAACCGATCAAGAATGTCCTGAATCTCTCTACAAAATGCACAGCTATGGAAACGGTGGGGAGTGGGGGGGAGGACCAGAAAAGGCTTGGTACCCGAGAGGTCTCCTGCTTACTGATCCCTCACCCCACTACCGTCTTCACCTGAATGGAACGCCCAGTCATTATAGCCGTATTTGGTGCAATTTTCAGTCCAGATACGGCTATAATGACCGGGCGTTCTATTCGGGTGAAGACGGTAGCCCTTCAAATCTTGGCATTTCTATAGATTGCTTCGAACTCAGCTCGTCCGCGGTCTGGGGACAACCACTTTTTCCTTTTCACCCTGCTCTGCTACTTTTTCACGCGTGCCGGCCGTAAGCAACCGGATTGTCGCCCCCAAGAATAGACAGGCCTGCGTGAGTGTGTTGTCTTCAAAAAAGAAAGAAAACCATGCATACAGTGACCATTCAGTAGCTTTATTTGACCCTTCTTCTTCTTCTTCTTCTTCTTCTTCTTCTTCTTCTTCTTCTTCTTCTTCTTCTTCTGTCCTTGGTTCTTTCCTCTCCTTTCTCCATCATTCTCTTGTCCCTTGTTTTCTAGTGTTTATACTTCAAACTTTGAGGTTCTGTCTTGTGAATAGGTCCTGTACTATGAAATTACTAATTAGTATGAATCCAGTTATTATTATCGAACTAATGAATCTGATTATCCAACTGGAATGCATACCAATTTGGTACCGCGACAGCCCCTATTTGCTGGTGAGAAGGTATGTTGGGCCACCTGAACCATTTAAAGGGACGCTGGACCCGTTTTCCAGCAGGTGAAGCTCCCCACCAATAGATGGAGCCTCTCCCCAGGTGTTAGTGGTGTCTGCTCCTATCAGCAGCACTAACACGGACGGGGGCGTTCTTTCAAAAAAAAAAAAAAAAAGTGAAGAGGAGGTACACATTGGATGAGGGTTGTGACTTGGGAATGGGCCGAGGTGCGAGTGCAGAAGTGGAGAAGAAGGGGAGATGAGTAGGAGACTTGACTTGGGTGCAAGGTGGGTGGGTGATGGGAAGTTGACCGTCGGAGGAGAGATTTGACCAAGATGGCATTCGTTACTGGGGCAAGCATAGGGATGAAGTGTAGCGGACCTCTGGTTGGCCTGTGAGACCAGCCCCTTGGCCTGTTCTCACAGGCCTGTGTTCTATTCAGGGCAGTCCAGTCCAGGCCGGTACCTCTGTCGGTACCAGCCAGTCCAGTCCAGTCCCGTCAGTCCGCTGGGGTATACCCCAGCTGTTGTCTGTTTTTCGATTCATTCTGCATTCGCACAGTTGGAGTACGTGCGTTGGAGTCCGGCGTGGGAGCTGCGCTGTGCCATCTCGCTCCCCTTCTTCCTCCATCTCCATCTCTATCCCTGGCGGAGCACCACACCTGGTGGGTCCGCCACATGAAGCTACCAGCCTACCACAACTGGCAGACGAGCAAGTGCTTGCAACATGTTCCACCTCTGGAATTATATGTTTGCGATTGCTACCTAGATGCTTAGCTTTTCCTTGTTTGAGCTTCTGGGCTTTTTTGGGGGAAATTGTGATTCGGAGAGATACGGGATGCTGGACCCGGTTTCCAGCACTACACTAAGCTGGGTGTTGGCCCCAGTATTTCCCGGTTGTTTGTGAGGATTCCTGGCCTCCGTTCTTTCAAGTTCAATCAAGCTTGCATAACAAAAAATCTTTCCAGGAAAAGAAAAGAAGTATATGTGTACAATGGCAGGGGCTGCAATGTGGGAGAGGAGAGTCTGGAGACGGTCGGCTTTTACTTACCTCATCACTATCGACCTTCCCATCGCTATTCAGAATCTTTATGCACATAAGGAAGGCAAACAAGAGTTTGTCTTTCTCAAACAGTGAGCGGCATATGTTCACATAAAGTGAGTACATGAAATGCTCGTTCAAAATGAGAAGACGTCTTGATAAGTACAGCGATGCGTCGCTATTGATGATTGATTTGACGAAGAGGTCGATGAACCAGGACAGAGAGTACTGGTACATGGACTCGATGCCCGCCAGATCTGCACAGAGGAGGCAACAGCAAAAGGCGTAACCATTCACCGTAATGAGGCAGACACACAAAAATATAGCGTAGATGATGAAAGGTGAAATTGAGAGAAGAATATAGCTTAGTCAAAAAGAAAAAGAAAAAGGAAAAAAAAAGCAGATGATGAGACCAAAGGGGATATCGTGGGGTAATAAGGACTCAAGAAAGGGGAGGAGGGAAGAGAGAGAGGAATGGAAAGAATGTGCATAGAGGGCGAGGGCAAGGAGAAAAGGAGAAAAGGGAGGAGGGTGAGCAAGATGAATGGAAATATATATATATATTTTTTGTATTTTTCCTCGTACTGTTGACATTGAAAGCAAAGATTGACAAAGGAGAAAGGTGTACTCCTCCAGGCTCCCGCCAAGGCCCACCAGCACCTCTGTTCAGTAGTCTCTACTTTTCAATCCTTTCCTGATGAGGCCACAGTATGGGCATCCGATTCTCAGATCGGATTGCAGGTTGCCACACGCGCTCGAAAACTTTGACGAAGCTTAATTGACCAAGCACCTAGTTGGACATAGGCCTGTAATATGAATTACGGTTTTGCAAAATTCAGACCTAAGATTACCGGTCCTGGACTACATTTTAAGATTTCCTTTGCTTAGTTACGTATTTCCCCCGTCCAACCCCCCCCAAAAAAGCAAAAGCTGAAGTTGGCCGCCATAGAATGGGACATGATGCGTAATGAACCAGTACTGCACTACAACGCCGCACACACAAACACTCTAGACACAAAGTTCGTCACAAACACATCAGCTTGCCCCTCTCTCTCTCTCTCTCTCTCTCTCTCT